GATCCATCAAACTGTCATATTTTAAAACATTTTATTTATAATTCAACTGCTGTGATCAAATGAGATTAAATTTAATGACAAAAAAGGATTGATAGTCCAAAATTAAATCTACTGTCTAAACTAATTGTAAATGATTTCTTTTTAATTACTTATTAGAATTTAAATATTTTTAAATTAAAATATTCATAAAAATAAATTAAGAAATCTACATAAATTTTAATTTCAAAAAAGTTAGGCTAAAATCATTATTTAATAATCTTATGTTAAAAATTTAAGCCAAAACCATTAGATGAGAAAAACAGTTTCTGGGTTTTGACTTTAGAATTTTCTGGCTTAAATTTTTAAGCTTTATCCTCAAGGGTTGGAGATGGTCTAAGAGAAAAAGGTAAGTTAAGCCTCACAATGAGTTAGTAATGATGTGGTTCAAATTCTTATTTGGCGAGGATTGAACCTAAGAATTCTCATTTATAAGTAAAGAAAAATATCACTAGACTATAATACTAAGTGGCAACTGGGCGTTGCATATAAGTGACGGCGCAAGCCTCAGAGCATCCTCATGGGGGTTTTATCCTCCATGAAGTGAGCTGGAAAATGGAGCTAGGTCCGGGCTAGCAACTTCATTCCCCAAGTAGCAAAAATTAGGCTACATCCAGCACCAAAAAGCAATGGGTCCCATAAGAAAAGTAGCTACCCATATGAGCCAAATTTTTCCACGCCCCCCTTTGCAAATATACTCATACTCTCTTTTGTTCCAAAGGTCCTCCTCCATTTTGTTTGTATGTTTAATGCTTGAGATATAAAATGATATAAGATGTTCTACGTCTAAAAGGGCTTACTTTTCTTAATTTCCAAATAAAAACGCATTGCATATTAAAATGACATTGGAAGTTTAGAGACCTAAACCGAAAACATAAACAAACAACATACCTAAATTGAAAGGCATTACAATTTAGTCATTAGATGAAATCTTATCTTGTCTGATTTTAGAGAAACAAACTAACGAATAAGATTGAAATATGAAAAACTAATCTAACGGTTCACAAGTGATGAAATCTAACTTTGCCAGAATTTGGCTTTTTCAAGGTTGAAATGTTCCCAAATTCTTTTTGAGATAACACGTCCAAAAATCCACTTAAGAAAGGTTAATACAAAAAAAAAAAATTGTCACATAATCAAATTACTACATAATTAAATATAAATAGCCCCGTATAGAGCCCGAAAGTAAATGGCCTCTCATTGGGGGGGGGGGGATTCATTTATAGAGCCCCAAAGATACCTCAAAGCTCTAAAATTGGCTATATCCACCACTTTTCTAGCCTCATGTAAAGCCCTCACTGAGGATGCTCCAACAGACGCGACTTGGAGAAAAGTGACCACGCAAAATGTTGGCAACATGGCCTAGCCCCACATTTAGGCCACTTACTTTGCTTGGTTTAAGAAGGCTCTATAATGAACACGTGAAGGGACAATGTGATATGGCACCATGTGTATAATGATTTGATATCATATTTTATAGTGTGGGTAAAACAACATCGATTGACTAACATATTACATATTCTACTCACTGAGCAACGTTGATTGTTGCTCACCCCTCACCTTTTATTTTACAGATGAGTTTTTTGGCAAGACAGGTGATAGATGGCTGAGTTTGTGTTAGACGAGAGATTTAAGAGTTTTCTTTATTTTTGTGTACACCCTATAAAATATTTGATTTTTTTATAAGAGAAGCTTAGTTTTCGTATTTATTTTTATTTTTACTCACGCACCGGGTGCATGATTTATTTTTCTACCAACCTCAAGTCCCGGGTGTGACAAAATGGTATCAGAGCCCAGTTATTAGACACTTTTGGGAAACTATGGAGCCATTTAGGTTGAATTGAATTCAGCTAGCGAATAGAATTTTAAGAGTCTATGAATAAGGTTTAATATATATATACACTATGGTCCCTTAACAATCCCTTCAAATTAACTTTACCAACTAATAAATTGGTAAACGGTAAAAAAGAAGAAGGGGCAAATGGGTAAAAAAATGGTTCAATGGATAAATGGGTAAACGGTTACGGTTAAATGGGTATGTGGTTATGAATATGGTTAACCGTTTATAAACGGTTATGGGTATGTGTATAACCGTAACGGGTAAACGGGTAAACGGTTATGCGGGTATAAGCATAAACGGTTATGCGTAAATAACCGCGGTTATCCATCCGCCATAACTATTGCTCATTCCTTGTCACACTTAGCCTTTGCATGACACCTATATAGCTTAATTTGGTCTCACTATTAGTAATTTAGTATGTAATAATCCATTTAAGTGCGTGTCAATTGTTCCCTCATCTTATTTGCATGCATTTAGACACCTCCTGCCTACAAATTATGTCCAGCACTATCCCTTCCTAAGTGTCATGTCCTCATGTATTTGCTTTAGCCATTAGACACATCTAGTGTTTATTCACCAACATGGCCGACCTTTGTATTCATATCAGCTCACTACTAGAAATTTTGGCTTTACCGACAAAATTAGTTTGTCGTCAAAAGTTAAAATTTGTCGGCAAAGAGTCTTTTCCGACAAAAAATTTCGTCGGCCATTTTGTCGTGCAAGCACTTTGCCGACGCATTTTGGTATTTCGTCGACTAAGGTTCAACTTTTCCCAACAAACTCCTTTTTGTCGGCATTTACATCTTCCCCGACAAATATTTTCATCGATAGAGGCTATTTAAGCCAACAAATAATACTTTTCAACCAACAAAATGTGTTTGTAGCCATGGATATTTTGTCAGCAAAGTCTTCTATCTCCCAACAAAATTAATTTCATCATGAAGACAATTAATTTATAAAAAAATAAAATAAATGCTTTTATGCTTAGCTACTACATATGCACATCAAAATACAATACACAAAAGTTGTAAAAAATAATACTTTATTTGATAGGTTTGGAACGTACATCTAGAGTACTTATACAAAAGCATATCACATAATAAAATTATCCTACTGTCATTCGTCAAAATTGGCTGCCACGTAACATCACAACAAATCTTGCATCTTGCCCCTGCATAATCACAACCATCTAGCAATAGCACTTGCACAATCACAATCATGTTGCACCTGCAGCATACTAGAGAGCAAAGAACCTGTAACAAAATACCTAACAGGGAAGATTAATAGCTATATCACATATGACACAACTTCCTAGCCAACAAACACATTGCCAATATACTAAGAAAAGTACTGTCTATAGTTAATAATATCTTTGATGTGTATAATTTGAAGATCATTTCAAGTTACTAGTCATCAATTACCCAGATGAATCTTCACTTATTCCACCAAAACCTTATAAATCCTTTCATGCAGTTGTAGCTCATATTGACAATCCTAAATGTGAACCATCCACTATATGTAAAATTCAAAATGTATATGGCATAGCTATTTGTGATGAAGTTAAATAAAGATAAATTTATTGAATGACTACTATTAATGTACAAAACCGGAGGTCTTGGAACAATGTAAATCCGACTGTGAATCTGCAAGAAATGTAAATAACACAAGATGTATCGTGGTTCACCTCAAGGTTTGGGCTACGTCCACACTGATTGTATTGTATTTATCTGAGAGGTGAGGGAGAGAACCTCTGTAATGAGAGGAGATGTGAGAGGGGTAAGAAGGCTCCAGAAGTGGCCTCCTCTAATTGTGAGGGTGAGGGGTCATTTTATAGAATAAGGACTCCTCACTTATTATATATTTACCCCTTCCTTTATCACATAATTATATTTAAGTCCCTCGAGTATTTGTACGAGATCTAAATACGAGGCCCTAAATATGGTATAAACAGTAGTCCCCCAAGTTTTCAGTTAAGAGAGTCTTTTGGCTGGAGATTTGAAATTCAGTCCATGTGTGGGCCGAAGTAACTAGATGTTGTCTTAAACTGATGTTCGATGTGAGGCGGTGCTCAATTTGAAATGATGCTCAACTAGAAATAGCACATGCTGCTAGGCTGCTCGGCTTGTGGCTTATGTTGCCTTGGTTGGCTCGGCTTGTGGCGTTGAAGGTAAGGGAACCCTTTTTATAGAATAAGGGCTCGCTCCTCAATACATAAATATGGGCTAGAGTTGATGCTCAAGATGAGGCGGTTGCTTAGTAGGCGGCGATGCTCTCTAATGATGGTGAGGGAGTCCCTTTATAGAATAAAGGCTCGCTCCTCAATACATAAGTGATGAGTTAGGAGTGATGCTCGCGGCGAGGTGGTTGCTCAACTGAAGGCGTTGCTCTCTAATGAAGGTGAGGGAGTCCCTTTTATAGAATAAGGGCTCGGTCCTCAGTACATGGATAATGAGCTAAGTCCCCCAAGTATTTTCATGAGGCTTAGTTGATGCCTAATATATGGTACATAATGTAGTCCCCCAAGTCTTCGGTCAATAGAGTCTGTTGGCTGGAGACTTCAAATTGAATCCATGTATGGGCCGAAGTGGCGGTTGTTCGAGGTGGTATTTGTATACCATGTACTGAAGCTTTGTGGGTGAAGCTTTGTAAGTGAAGCGTTGAAGCTGGAGCTTTTGTAAATGAAGCTTTTGAAGTTAGAGCTCTGTAAATGAAGTTTTTGAAGCTAGAGCTCTGTAAATGAAGCTTTTGAAGCTAGAGCTTGTGTAAATGAAGCTTTTGAAGCTGGAGCTCTGTAAGTGAAGCTTTTGAAGCTAGAGCTTTTGTAAATGAAGCTTTTGAAGCTGATTGACATGAATGATGCTCATTAATGTTTATGTATGTTGACATGAGTGATGCTCATGGATGTTGACATGAGTGATGCTCATGAATGTTTATGTATGATTGATATGAGTAATGCTCATGAATGTTTATGTATGATTGACATGAGTAATGCTCATGTATAATTTGGGAGTACTGGACATACTTTTGATCACCTGGTTGGTGGTAATAGCCTGATGTCCCACTGCCATCACCATACTAGAAGGTGTAATGGGTTTGTGTGCACATTGGTCTTCCTCTGTTTGATTCAATGAAACCCCATTCCGATTCCAATCGCCGTCACCATTCTCGACCCTGTTGATTTCTTGCTCAAACCACCACACTTCAACTCGAGAGGCCCGCCGCAAAGCCCGCTGTTCCCGGCAAAATCTACCTTATCAAACCCGTCGAAAAACGAAGGGATAGACCCCTTCAACTTATTATTCGCCACTGAAAACGTCTTAAGCCTACCCAAGCTAGAAAATTCATAGGGAATCGAACCCGAAAGCTTGTTGTCCGAAAGGATCAGAACGTTCAGATACTCATAGTGCTGCAGGTCCCGCGGGATCACGCCGGAGAAGTCGTGCCCGGACAAATCGAGGGTCACAAAAAACAACAACCAATTGTAAATATCCGGGGGAATCGGCTCGAAAATCTCATTTCTGCCAAGATCCAGCTTCGTGAGGCTGGCGCAGTACTCGATATCCTTTGGGACCTCGCCGGTGATCTCCATGTCTTGGAGCTCCAAACTAAAGATCTGATTTTCTCGATTGTTCCAGCAGGTGATGCTAACGAAATCGCAGATGAATCCGACGGTGTGGTCCCTGAAATCCCTAGACGCCAGCTTTCTGAGCGGGTCATTCAGCAACTGCTTCAGCCTCTGAACACACCTCACGTCGTCTTCGACCACGGCGGCGTAAGAGCCGAAATGGGTGTTTATACAGCCCCATAACAATACCAAAATCCAAATCCTGGCGATGCGGGAATCCATATCCGGGCAATTAAGCAGGAAATACAAATTGTGGGTTCTTCTTAGTAATGTCTGAAATGCTCAAAGGTCCAAACTTTTCAGTCAACTTTGCACGTATGATCCTGTAAAGGAAGAGGAACGTGCGATAAAAAAGACGAGGGCCATTGACTTCTCTGCTCTATATCTGATTGGGAACGCCTTTTTTGGTTGGAACTGCCTTGCACCATGGTTCTCATATCCTAGGTGCAAAACCCTACTCGACGGCAGAGGAAGCGGAGGCAGAGGAGGAGGAGAGTGTTTGCCTGAGTCTGAGCGCCCAGGACACAACCTATCTCATCAAAGCAATTACAAAGGCCGCTTTGTACCGTACGCGGCTCAGTCTCAAGCCCGATGAGGACGCGTCGTCAACGACGAAGAAGCTCATCGGAGCAAATGCGAGCAGCGAGGAAACCATATCAAAAAAAGAAATACAGAGCAAGCAGATGAGGTGGCTCCATGGGTTCTGTCTTGCAGTTGCAGAGAGAGACTGAGTGAGAGAGGAGGTGGCTCCGTGGGTTTTCTGGAAAAGTTTTGGGTTCTTGGTTTCTGCAGATTCATGGTGGTGAAATGAAAAAAATGAAAGAGAACCGACATAGCTTTTTGTGTCATTTCCTACAGACGGCGCCAAATGTTGATGCACAAAACCGGAGATCTTGAAACAACGTAAATCCGACCGTGAATCTGCAAGAAATGTAAATAACACAAGATGTATTGTGGTTCACCCCAAGGTTTGAGCTACGTCCACATTGATTGTATTGTATTTATCTGAGAGGTGAGGGAGATAACCTCTATAATGAGAGGAGATGTGAGAGGTGTGAGAAGGCTCTAGAAATGGCCTCATTTAATTGTGAGGGTGAGGGGTCCTTTTATAAAATAAGGACTCCTCACTTATTACATATTTGCCCCTTCCTTTATCACATAATTACATTTAAGTCCCTCGAGTATTTGTACGAGATCTAAATACGAGACCCTAAATATGGTATAAACAACTACATGGTGAATAAAGGCTTTCAATACAAAGTAGTAGTTGTTACAACATGCTCCAAACCGACACATACAATTGTACAATAGCATTTAAGGGTTCAGGGATTTGAATTAACCTTGACTGGTGAACGCATTCTTTGTCCATGATAACAAGCCTTTCCCTCTACTACTACAAGTTAGTATGTCACAAGCTGCCAATGTATGAATTTTTGTCAGCGAAGAGGAATAAAACTTGCAAACTTTCAAAGAAACACTTTCAAGTCTAAGTTTGTAAGGAAACTTACATCCATAGATTCATTCTGTAACTTTAGTATTGACAATTGTATGAAAAATTTGCTAATTCATTCTAATCATAAGCAGTTCCTATAAAACCACCTTTAGTAAATAATTCCTTACCAACAAACCAAAAGGTATATATGTTGCATAAAGAAATAATTCTTATTCGAATAGAATTAAACTAATCAAAAGTTTCAAGGAAGAAAACTAATCACAGAATTTTAGCCACATGAATACATGTTGCAAAAAAAATGATTAAAGTATGTTAAGCATGGATACTCAGTCAACCATTAAATCATGAGCAACAAAAGGTTTGCAGTTAGGTACAAACAAACCCATTTCACCAAAATGCCAAAACAATACTAAACCACATTTTTTAAATTGATAATAAAATCACAACCTTACCTTTGTTCACTTTTGAATAGGCATGACATTACAGCCTGCTCAAATTGGTTAAGAATTCAGAAACCAGAAAAAGATCATTCCCAATTTTAGAATAAGAATTCACCATCACAAGGCACTTGTAAATAAGAATTCACAAACAAGAACAATACAAACTACAACATACTTTAAAATAAGAATTCACCATCACAAGGCACTTGTAACTGTAAGAAGTTGTTATCAAGTATATGGTTGCCATTACTCACACCACCCCATCAACGCTATTTCATTGCTCTTAACATTTTGGGACCATTTTTCTTGCTAATTCAGTTTCAATGTCAAGCTTGGAATTTTAAAAATTAAAAAAATTTAAAAAAAAAACTGTTTATTATACTGAAATAGTAAAATATACAGAAAATGACAATCTCACAAGTACCATGACCAAATTTCAATTGATTACATAGAGAAGTTGATTATTATATTGCAAAGACTCACAATCAATTTTAACTATATAACTACTATTGCAGATTAATTGAAGTTTTCCATAAATTGAAGTTAAAAGTAATTTCCAGAACATGGATTAAGCATCCTCAATCCCAGAAACCCAGAAAGAGAAACTATAAACCCTAACTAAGGATCCTCAATCAAATCATTGCCTAAAACCCCTCAAAATTATAGGGGAAAAACAGTATAAGGAAGGAACCATAAAATTGAGATTAAATAGAGAGCTGAGAGAAAAAATTAGAATAGATAGGGTTGAAAACATTACCCAAACGTTTAAGAGAAACGAAATGAAGAGAAACACTCTGTATTGGAGACGTCGAAGCTAGAATAGCAGGGGCCCTTCGATGGCAACATCAGCAGCAATGGAGAGTAGATGAAGCCACTACAACGGCGAGAAAAAAAAAAAAAAAACAAAGTCGACGGAAAGCGAAGAGCGGCGCCTTGTGAAAGAGAGAAAGAAGAGGGGACGGTTATCCACAAATAATAGGGTTTGTCAAACATTGTATCTAAAGATTTAAGGGGAAAATTCTTTCGATGAAAAAATTAAGTGGGGGAATCGAAAAGACAAAAAATAAAGGGGCGGGAAGGAATTAATAATTTGCGCCCCTCTCTTGATGATGAACTGGCATGTTTTCGCCGACCTTTAGTTTATCCGTCGGCTTGAATGTTCTCTGCCAACAAAATTTTGCTCCGCGTAGGTCTAGAAGTTTGGAACCTACAAATTAAAATTTTCGTCAGGGGAAAACTTTTGTGCCGACAAAACTTTGTTCTGTCGGCTTTATATTTGTCGGCAAAATGATATTTTCTAGTGGTGGCTCTTCACCTTTCTTTAGTTGCGTTGCACTCAAGGTCTTAAATGCCGATAGTATCGACGATATTTCACCGATATTATCGGTTTTTCGCATTATCGATATTTTAATGGTTATCCAATTAGTTTTCGTCAAAATATCGCGATAATATCGCGAAATTTTGGATCTGTGCAAATCGGAGAAGAACGCTGGAGCTTGTACAGCTCCGGCCGACTATAAAAAAGCACCCTAGACTCCGATCTAGGTATCAAAATGAAATAGAAGACGAGAGGAATGTTTTTATAACTTCCGTTTGCCGTGAAACGGTCAGAGGTGTTCGGAAAGTTCGTTGACACCCACGGCCTCGCCGGAGATGGGTGTGCCTATTCCCGAGCCGATTTCATCCCAAAAACCTTGCAAAAACATGAGATAGAACTTCAATTTCACATCTAAGCTTCGATCTAGAACAGAAAGAGGTAAACCCGAAGCTTACCTAACCGGAGAAATTCAAGAAACTCGCCGGAGGGTTCCTGCGTTTGTCGAGTTGCAGAGACGAGAAGGAGAGGAAGAAAGACGAGGTGGGTGTCTTCCTGAAGCAGGTGCGATGGTGTGCGTGTGTGTATGTGGGTCTCGGTGCAAAGAGAAAGGAGAGAGATGAGAGTTTCGAGAGAGAGACGGCACCGATGAGGCGGAAGACGTGGACGAGGGAGAAGCAGAAGGCCATGTGGGAGAAGGATCGAGAGACTGAGGTCTCTGTGCGTGTGTGTGGGAGAAGGGAGTAGAGAGATCGAGAGATCTCTATGTGTGTGTGTGTGTGTGGGAGAATGGAGAAGGGAGATAAGAGAGAAGGATCGAGAGAGAGAGAGACTGAGGTCTCTGTGTGTCTGCGTATGTGATGTTTGTGTGCGTGTGTGGTGGCGTGTGTGTGTGTGTGTGTGTGTGTGTATGGTTCCTGTCAGGACTCAGGAACTTGCTGACAACTTTTACAATTACTTTTGACAATTTCAGACCATGGACAAAAATATTGGTGATTTCATTTAAAAAAATCTAAATAATTCAAAACTCAGACAACTTTTACAATTATAACTTGTACAATTTCAGACTATGGATGGTGGTTTCATTCAAAACCGTGTGCCACTGTGATATTTTTTCACATTCTCAGATGTGGAGTATCAGATCATCACACATTTTTTGACCCTTCAAATATTAAAACTCTATTACACCTTTTCGTTTCTTCTTCTTCCCTTACCCCTTTCAGAAACATTCCAGATCCATTCCAGAGCTTCAACACAAAGGGTTCCATATTTAAGGTAAGTTTACAAACTTATATTTATATTATTGTAATTTATACAACAACAAAAAAAATTGTGTGGACTCGTATGTTAATTTTTTTAAGTAATTAATACTTGCATGTTAATTTTTTTAAGTAATTAAGTAATGTTAACAATTACATGTTAATTTTTTTAAGTAATTAAGTAATGTTAACAATTACATGTTAATTTTTTTAAGTAATTAAGTAATGTTGTATAATTATTCCCTAGGATAATTTTAATATGTTTAATGTTATTTATTATTTTATTATATTAGGTTTTATTATCAAATTGGATTATTATTCATTAAATTGGATTATTATCAAATTGGATTATTCATTAAATTGGATTATTATTAAATTGGATTATTATCAAATTGGATTATTATTCATTAGAATCATTACTATGTTTAATATTAGGATTTTTTTTTATCAAATTGGATTATTATTCATTAATATTAGGTTTTATTATTCCATATTATTTTTATAATTACTTAAATTTTTACAATCATTTTCTTTACTTCGTATTTAATTCTTCTATATAATAACTTTATTATTTAGGTTCTCTTATATAACCGTCATCACTACTATATTTTTTGGCCAAAAAAAATTGTCTAATTGTCATGAAAAATAAATATAGGTACGTTTAAGATGTCCAGTGGAGTTACTAAACGTAATCCAGCTTGGGAACATGGAGACCCAATAGACGGAAACAAACATGGCACAAATTGCAAATATTA